TTTCAAGGGTGGGGGGTCCTTCTCAATACACAAGCGCGGCAGTGCTGGACTACACTGATTCTCAAGAACAGCACTGGCCTGGAACGGACCAATCATGGGACAGCGATTGGATGTGCAGGCTCTGCACACAAACTACCTAGGTCTAAGTTCAGGGCCCAACACTTATCAGCTAGGTGACCTCAGGCAAGTTACTTACCCTCCTGGCCTTGATTTCCTTCTCTTAAAATGAATGCAATGCCTCTATTTAGTACAGTGATCGGTACATATGAATAACTTAATAAGTTGTCAATGTTATTCCTCTCTTTAGTTCTGAGCCAACCAACACCTGTCTGAGCAGTCCAGTGCTAGATATAACATTCGAATGAGTTGCCCTAAAGAAATTTAAAGTCTACTATGAGGAACTAAGGGACTTTTTAAAAAATGGAAAATTGCAATAGAGTCTCTATACAAGTACTAGAAGGTGAAATTCAGTGGGTTGCAGGAACTAGAGGGATGCCGAGAAGGAAGACGTGGACCACAAAGTGGGCCTTAAAAGAATAAAAGCTGAACCAGCAAGTGACAAACCTACTCTCAGGAGGAGAGTAGCATGAGTGAAGGTAAAGGGGGCGGTGAGGAGCCTGTTTCTCAGGGCAGGGGAGAACTGCACCGGCCAGCAAGACAGGAATAGAAGGTTTCTGCTGGGAGGTCTTGGGAACAGCTGCCTGAAACCTCGGGTGGGTCCATGGAACCGATGTAATGGGCAGTGAGGAGCTGTCACGGGCTCTTATACAAGCAGGTGATGAGATTTAGAAGCATCCAGTAGCAAGAGTATTTAGGAGACGGAGAGAGGTTAACAAGGTCCTTCGAGGGTGAGAATGGGACTGGACAAGAAAGAAAAAACACAAGAGACCCTATACATGAAAAGTCGATAGGCTTTAGTGATTGATTTCAGGCAAAACAAACACAAGGTAGACCTGGAGGCACAGGAGAGCAGGGCTGCGACCCAAAACAGGAAGGGTGGGCAGTAGAACAGTTAGAGGTGTGAGGTAAGTTTGGGTTTTTGTCACATTGGATTTCTGATGAAAAATGGAGCATCTGCAAAGGAGATGTGGAAATCAGGACAAGAGCTCTGTCAGAGATCAGAGCAGCCCAGGGAGCAGCAAGCAGCCTCAGAAGACTGGCTCAAACCCCGGGCTCGCGGAATAAGCCCGTCAGAACAAGGGGAAAGGGCAGAAAGGGGAGAGACTCCAAAGGAAGAAGAGAAATAAAATATGCTCTCATGTAGCCCAAACTGTTGTGAAAATGAATATGATTAACAGGTCCAAGAAGATGAGGACTGAGGAAGAACTGTCCAAAAATTTTGTGTTGAGTCAATGATCTTAAAAAGAACCCCCTCTTTGCTAAGGAAGAGGAGACTAGATGGCCTTATACTCAATGGAAATCTATTTCCCTGTAACTTCTACCCATTGGTTTTGTTTCTACTAATCGGAGCCACAGGAAACAAATCATCTTTCTTGGCAATCTTTGAAAGATGGTACGTTCACCACTTAAAGCTATGACCTAACACCCATGGTTCTACCGCTTACTAGCTGTGTGAGCTCAGGTAAGCTTTTTACCTAAACATTGGTTTCCTCTGTGTATGAGGGGGAGCAATTAATGGCCCTTCTCCCCATAGGGTTGTTGTGAGGGTGAAATGATATAAGGTGGAATGGCTCAGCGTAGTGCCAGGCACATGGCGAGGACTTAAGTGTTTACTGTCACCGCAGCTGCTGTCATTGATGTCATTAACAAACTTCTCCATTCCTTCAGATGTTTCTCATTCGGTAATGTTTTACATATTCTTACCAGCCTGTTGAGTCACTCTGAGTGTCCCTTGGTCTGGATCCCTTTTACAGTCTGGAACCCAGCACTGCGCTAAAGGTGTGGCCTGAGGAGCAAAGGGGTGAGAGTCTAAATAATACAGCCTGACACTATATTAGTGGTTTTGGTGGTCACTTCACAGTGTTGGCCAAGTCTTGTCTTTTCTTACACATGCAGCTCATCCGTATTCATTTTCTTAAGCTCATTCTTATTGAATTTCAGTGTTATATTTGGTAGAATGTTCCTGCCTATCAGCTGGTTTTAGATCTTGATGCTGTCATCCAGGATAATTGCTCCTCTGCCCAGTTTCCTGTTCCATGTTGTTAAAGGCCATAATTATATTTTTCCATGATTTTGATGTTCCAAGGATAAAACAATTCCAGAAATTATTCCGTAGAGCTACTCTGTGAAATTCTTCTTAGAGGTAAAATAACTCCATTTTATTTGTTAAGGTTGTTTCATCTACAAATAACAAAAACCTACCTCTAACTGACAAACAATACGGGAAATTTATTGGCTCATCTGACCCGAAAGGTGAGTGCCAGGGTGGGTTTCAGGCATGGTGCGATGAGGGCTTTGGCCCCATCACTCTGTAATTCTCTCAGGTCTGCCCTTCCTTTGGTCCCATCTGTAATCAGGTTGGAGTTCTGAGGAGAGCAAAATGGATTTGGCATTCCTAGGCTTCTCATCTGCGGCCCACATGTGTCCCAGTTATTGACAAAGGACCTCGTTTCACTCTGAATAGTCTGAACCAAACTCTGTAGCCGAGGCAAGGCCATACACAGACCGAGTTACTAATGCCCATCCATGAATCAGTCACACTAACAACATCTACTGCTGGATAAAATATACGCTGACAATAATGATAACGATAACAACAACAACAATAATAACAAATGAAATATATTTCTTTAAAACTATTCTAAAATTCAGATTTTGCTATAATCAGACAGTTCTTCCAATCAGCAAACTTTTTCTTAAAGAGCCAGACGGAATATATTTTACACTTTGTGTGCCAAGTGGCAAAATGGAGGCTGGTATGTAGGGACTTTTGTGACCATTTAAAAGGTCATGACTTAGCCCTGACCAGGTGGCTCAGGTGCTTGGAGTGTCATCTCATACACCAAGAAGTAGCGGTTTGGTTCCAGGTCAGGGCACAGACCTGGGTTGCAGGTTCGGTTCCCGGTTGGTGGGTGAACAGGAGGCAACAGGTTGATGTCTCTTTCTCTCTCTCCCCCTCCCCCCTTTCCCTCTTTCTAAAATCAATAAGCATTGGTCGGGCGAGGATTAAAAATATAACAATAAGAAAGGTAACAATTTAAAAACATATAAACAATACTTAGCTCAAGGGCTGTAAAAACCATAGGTGTCTGGTCTCATTTGGCTCCTGGCCTGTCGTTTGTTGCCTCCTGCTTTAGAGCAATAACTGAATATTAACTCAACTAACTAGAAGAATTTAGAATTAAGAAAAAAAAGCATAAATTGATTTTTA